CCTGTGGCCCGCCGCCACAGGCCCACCTGCGTCCACTTGTCTCAACCACCGGGCCTGTATGTCCCTATCAGCTGCCGCTGGGTCTGTCTGCCTCTGCAGGCCGCCAACGGGCCTGTATGTCTCTGCCGGTTGCCACCGCGGGCCTACCTACCTCTGCTTGTCATTGCTGCCGGGCCCATCCACCTCTGCGGGCCGCCACTGGGCCTGTATGTCTCCGCCGGCTACCACCAGGCCTGTATGTCTCTGCCGGTTGCCGCTGGGCCTGTATGTCCCTGTTGGCTGCTGCCACTGGGCCCGTCCACCTCCGCAGGTCACCGACCTGCGTCCGCCTGTCTCCGCCGCGTGGCCCGTCCACCTCTGTGGGCTCCTGCCAGGCCTAAATGTCTCTGTCGGCCTCCACCGCTGGGCCTGTCCACCTCTGTCTGCTTATCTCCGCCGCAGGGTATGTCCACCTCTGTGGGCCACCGCTGGGCCTGAATGTCTCCGCCAGCTGCTGCCGGGCCTGAATGTCCCCGTCGGCCGCCGCGGGGCCCGTCCACCTCCGAGGGCTGCCGCCACAGGCCTACCTGCGTCTGCTTGTCTCCGCCATCTTCACATTTATTTTTTTTTAACATTATTTTTTCTTAAGAGGAGACAGTCTTGTCACAATCATCACTGGATTTCACAAAGGTTAGTGTCTTAGTTTATTTTCTGTTGCTATAACAAAACACCGGTTATTGGGTGCTTCACAAAAACAATTAGCTTACTGTTCTGGAAGCTGAGAAGCCCAAGAGCATGGCACCTGGCTTTTGTTTGGTGTCTGGTATGGTATTTCTTGCTACATCATGTCATGGCAGAAGACATCACCTGGGAAGGCAGAGCAGGCATGTTAGAGAAAGCTTGCTTTTGTAAGAAAAGCACTTCCTCCATAACATTAATCCATCAATCCATGGATGCAGTAATTCATGCATGAGGAGGGTGCCCTCACCACCCAATCATCTCCAACAACCATTAACATAGGAATTCAGACATTAAGTGGCAATGTATGAAATTTGAAGGGCACATTCAAACCACAGAAGGTAGATGGGAAGTCTGAGATTGAGCCAATGAGTTCTTTTTCCCACCCATCATCCAAGCCTGGCCTAGATGGGTGATTATGGGGGATCCTCTTGGCCATGCTGGTCAACTCTGTAGTCAGAGGGAAGCTCTTCCTGTCTGTGCCTGAAGAAGCTAAATAGCAACTGGAATTCACAGAAGGCCATTCTCCTCATTCTAAATTGTTTAAAGTCCCCTATGCCCTTAGTCTCTGAGGAAGAAATTCTCACCTTAGTCACAGCGAACTTTGTCTTTGGGCTCCACCCAGCATGCCTCAGGGTGTGTGACATAGTAAAACTAAGTAAGGCCTTACTGGGTCAGACAACCTGGGGTCATCCCTGCCGGCTGACCTTGGGGGACCTTGGGAGGCAGCTCAACCCTGTAAGATTCACCTTACTCTCCTCTAAGAGGGGGTGATGGCAGGGTCTACTTCATGAGATTATGGGATTAATACAGGAAAGAGGTTTAGAATTCTGCTTGCTCTCTGGTCAGTCAGTTAAAAGTTCTTTTGTGTTCAATGGTCTCTTCCTTCATATGTTCAACTCAGTTGGAAAATCTGGATGTTGCCCTCGTGACCTCATAGTTTAACCTATTTCTCTTGTGTATGTTTTACAGCAAGATTCTGCTCCCTTTTCTTGGACCATGTCTCAAGGTCACTGGTGGGTCATATATTGTCTCTTCAGGTCCCTTCCATCTTCAAAACCAAGGTGACTCAGGCCCTTCTTGGCTCTTCAAGCTGTTCAGAAGCTTTTTAATGGCTCAGGTCCTTACCCTTGGGCTCTTCCTGGCTCGTTCCCATTGCTGCCTGAGAGCTTTCCACAAGGCAGGCCTGAGCAGGCCCCCCTCCTGTGCTCCCTGCAGCTGCAGCCCTGTCAGCAGGCCTGCCTCAGGCTCGCTTCTCTTCGCTTCCCTGTGCCTGTGGCTCCGTGTCCCCTTCCCCCGGTGTGGGGACACTTTAGGCTCCTTTGGCATCTGCTTTTTTGTGCAGGTTTTTTTTTTTCTTCCTTCCAACTTAACTTTTCTCTAGGTGAGCTGTGGAGCTCATCTGTTTGGGCTTGTCTGTAGGTGGAGTTTTCCTGTCTCGCAGCCTCTCTCAAATAATCACTCAGGGGCTTAATATTAATTACAAATGCTCGGTCCATAGCTCAGGTTTGTTACTAACCAGCTCGTACAACTTAAATCAACCCATTTCAATTAATATATGTGTTGCCACGTGGCTCATGGCTTTACCTGTCCTCCAACATGTCTTGCTCCCTCTGAGTCTCCTGGCAACTCCTCTGACTCCACCCTTCTTTATCCCAGCATTCTGTCTCAGGCTGTCTTGCCCAATCTCTTCCTGCCTAGCTATCGGCCAATCAGCTTTTTATTAACAGTGAGAGCAATACATATTTACAGTATACATAAGGATTATTCCACAGCACTTGTCTTGAGCAGGTGACCTTTAGCAGATCATCACCAGTGACTCTGTCATATCATTACCAGGGGAAACATCTGCCTCCTCCTGGGCTTCCTAACTGGCCCCTCAGTTCCCATTTAACACTGCATTTCAGCCCTGTGTTTACACATCTGCCTCCTCCATGAACCTTATGTCTCCCCTGCTCCGGGACAAGGGGGCAAAGGGCACATTCTTTGTCCCTGACTCCTTGCTTAGAAGGAAAATGGCAAGGGCCATAAAGTGAGAGGCCGACAACTTGTTATTTGGGTCACAGCTAGGGCCCTAGTAAGACAGGAGTTAACTCCCCACAGGAAATAAGGGCAGGGCTCACGATGGATTGTGAGCTGGTCACATAGAAAATAATCAATAGCCTACGAAACGGATACAGCAAGTTGGGAGAGAGAATAGATGAAGTGACCAGGACAAGTGACTACCTCCCTGATGGTAGGAGTAGCTCATTCCTCTGATTTGGCTGAGGAGGTGTAATCAAGTACAGGTCACTCCCTGCTTCAGTCTTGGATGAGTTCAGAATGACCAGTCACAATCAAGGTTACACAGTGAAGTGTTCTTCCAGTTCCCACTGTGAGTCTCATAAAAGCCATTAAACTTGTCCTCACTCTGGGGGTTCTTCCCACTTTCCCTTTATAATCTACTTCCTCCACGGCTGCTCCTGGTCAGTGTTGCTGTGTTCTTTGGCGTGTGGTACTGAGCACTGGCTTGAGGTGCCTTTGGTGGCTGTTCAGTGTCTGTATCCTAGCTCCCTGAGTTAGGTTCATCAAGAGCTGAGAAGGGGTCTTCAGAAGGCAGATTTGGCCCCCCATCTCCAATTAAAGGCACAATTAATAGTGAAAAGCAGAAAAAAAAAAGAGACTTCTTGGATGTGGCCACATTAGGAAGAAGAGCATAAAGGTCCCTTAAAACAGTAAGCAGTTCTCAGCCTGTGGGTGTTGACCGCCTTGGGAGTTGCGTATCAGATACCTGCATATCAGATACCTGCATATCAGAGATTTACATTGCAATTCATAACAGTAGCAAAATGACAGTTATGAAGTAGCAGTGAAATACTTTTATGGCTGGGGGTCACCCCAACATGAAGAACTGCGTCACAGCATCAGGAAGGTTGAGAACCACTGCCGTAAGTCCTTCTTCAGGGTCCCAACATGAAGTTTAGGTTTAAACAGAGGACAAAGAGTATATAGCTAAGGAATCCTAGTCAAGATGTGGTCTACCACCTCTCTGTTGACTCTAGTCTTTCCCACAGGGTGGTCTGACATGTCAGAACTCCTGAGATTTCTCTAGGAGACAAGCTCCCCCCTCTGGCTGGCAGCTCGGCTCCCAGTCTTTTCCCTTTCTCTGCATGAGATTGTGGGCAAGCCCAATTCTTTGGAGACGACTGTTTCAGTAGGCTGATAGGCAAAGGGAAGGGCCCAAGTGTCTCTTCAGAATATCTTCATTCCTGACTGGAAAGTTACAAACTGGCTTTAAGGAAACAAGACAGCTCTGGTATGTCCCAACGCTGTACCTGCTTGTTTGGACAGGGTGTCCCTGTGTAGTGCTGGCTGTCCTGAAACTCGCTGTGTAGACCGGGCAACCCTGAGGGAAGATGGGCACTGTGTAAATGACCCTGTGACTCAGCACTTTTGGGCATATGCTTTTCCCCAAGCTCAATAACCCACTGCTATTCTCAGGAGCATCTCTCTCTTTCTTAATAAACACTCTCTTTTGATGGTCTTGCTATAGTGCCCTGGTATAATTCTTTGTCCTGGGACACAGTAACTTGGAAACTTCAGCAGGTGACCCTTAAACTCAGATCTACACCACCTGCCACTCTTACCATCCCAGGTTGAGGAAGAGGCCACATCCCTGGAGCCACCCAGTCTTTAATTTTGAGCCTCCAATACTATGAGCTAGGCAGACATTTCCCCCCTAAGGTTGCTGCCTGAGCTACTTTGTTATACTAACATAAAGATGATTAGTGTGCCTGCCCAACACAGAAAGGAAAGTCACCTTGTTCCGGCCCCAGCTATTGCCCAAGTACTCGTGTGATGAGGAACGTAACTGTCTCCTCTAACCACTTGTGTTTATGGCCCACTCATTTAGCTTCTAGGCACAGCCAACATTGCTGAATCAGAACAAGTCTAAAGCATTTATTTTTATGTAAAAAGATCATTAACGCCTCTCTAAAATTATTAGTATAGCCTAGCTATGAGCAAAACAAAAACAAAAACCTAAACCCCCAACATTTTGTTTTACTTCCAGAAAGATCGATGTGGATACTAGAGAAGGGGTTAGGGGTGGGAGTGGTGTTGCCTACCACCACTGTATAATCGTTCCTTTTTACATTGCTTTATTTACTTACATTTGGGTTTTTGAGACAGGGTGTTTGCTATGTAGCACACACTGGTTGTGAACTTGGCAATCCTCCTGCCTCTGCCTCTCAAGTGCTTGGGTTATAGGTGTGCAATTTCATACTCAGGTCTCATGCTGGGCATTATTAATTGATTCACACAATGATTGTTTCATTTGAGGGCGAGGGCCTTTGATACAGAGTCATCTAAGCTACTGTTCAGTATCTTAAATGTCTAAGCAGAGGAAGCATGTACTTAGTAAATATTGCAAAGTTATGATGTCATATCAATGGGGTGAACATTCATCACATTTGTCTGCTGAACGTTCTCTGTTCTGAGACTGTGTTTTGAGGAATGGCTGACTGGGTAATGATGCAAAATTTGTGTGTGTGTGTGTGTGTGTGTGTGTGCGCACGCGCGCGCGCGCGCGCGCGCACTCATGTGCAGGTGCTCACATAGGCTAGAGGATATCTTTGGCTGTTATTCCTCAAGCACTGTATTTTCTCTCTCTCTCTCTCTCTCTCTCTCTCTCTCTCTCTCTCTCCCTCTCCCTCCCCCTCCCTTTTTTACTTTCTTTCTTTCTTTTTTCTGAGATAGGAGTTCTCATTGGCCCGGAGCTCTCTGAACTCAGGTCCTTGTGCTTGCAAGACCAGCACTTTACCAGCTGAGTGATGATGCTCCTAGTCCAGGAGCTGCATTTTGAAGATTCAAACCGAACACTGTGGCATTACGTTTGGCTCCAGGCAGGAAGATGCATAGCTGGACAGTCCTGGCTCCATCGTCTCTGGCTCTGGTCTGAGGATGGATGTGTGCCCTCAGCTTGACCAGCTTGGAATCTTGTCTTGGTATTTTTCAGAAGCAGAAGCTGGAGGAGGGGAGAAGACCATCTTCATTTTCTTCGATGCTGGGAAAATGCAAATGGGCTGTCAGTGGTTCTTGCTTTGGGTAGGAAAGATGGCTGCAAGAGTGAAGATAGGCTATTGGTTGAAATTATTAAGGCAACTCCTCGTAGTTAAAGGGAGGTTTATTTTGGGGGGTAACTTACAAACAATGAGTAAAGGGATTGGCTACAGGATCCAGGAGAAGTGAAGTGCAGTCCAGCAGTGTTCTCTGGAAAACTCTGCTCGGTCTACCATCCAGCATCCAGGATCACCAGGAACCAAGAGAGCCAGCACATCTGAATCTTGGGTCTCCAGGGCTCCTCCCTCAGCCCCGCCTCATAGGTGTGACAGTTACTGGAAGCCTCACTGGGGGTAGTACTTCCAGGTCAAAGCTGGAACAGCTACCCACGGCAACAGGCAGAGGAAAAGAGCAGCTGAGGGGAAGGGACAGGGGTGGGAGGAGAAGTCTTTGATGGGTTTGTTTGGTTCCCATTGCTCACGTGGCTTCTTTCTCCAGAAGCCTGGCTTCGGAAGACAGTTTCCCCCTTGGTTGTTTTAGGAGCTAAAAGTTTTGCAACTAACCATGGCTAGGCTTCTAACACAGGTAGATTTTGTTTTGCTTTGTTAGCTGAACAAGTGTGGCGAGGGTGTCTTCTCTAGGCTAGAACATAGGTCCTATCATCCGTGTGAGCAAATATTTGTAAGCATGTTTTATTTATATTTTCCCCAAGTTCTACTTTGGCATTTATCATGTGTTACTTACTTAATAGTAAATAGGAGGGCTGGAGAGATGGCTCAGCGGTTAAGAGAACTGGCTGCTCTTCCTGAGGTCCTGAGTTCAATTCCCAGCAACCACAGGGTGGCTCACAACCATCTGTAATGAGATCTGGTGCCCCTCTTCTGACCTGCAGACAGAACACTCTATACATAATAAGTAAATCTAAAAAATAAAGAAAGAAAGAAAGAAAGAAAGAAAGAAAGAAAGAAAGAAAGAAAGAAAGAAAAACAAATAGTAAATAGGAAAATCAAGGTAGAGACATATACCCACCATCAGGGTGGACTTCATCCAACTCCCAGGTTGTCTTTAAGGGGGAAATAACGTAGTTATATTGTGATCTCAAAACATAAAAGAAATAATTTAAAAGAATGAGTTAAGTCAGACATGGTGGCACAAGGCCTGTAATCCCAGTACACAGGATCTCAAAGCAGGTAGAGACAGGGCAGCCCAGAGCTGACCCCCACAACCCTGGAGTTCAAACTAGTAGGAATGAACTTGTGTTCAGGAGATTTAGACAACTTTGAAGGTAAACTGGAATAACGACATAGTTCCCTCTTTGAACTTCCCAGAATTCAGCACTGCTGGGGTAGCTGGGGCAAGCCCTGATGCAGTCGCCAAGGAAGGTTATGGTTTTAAGTTCCATTCGTTTGGAAAGGCAGTCTGCGGCTGTGGGGTAGGCACAGGAATAAGGAGATTTTTGTTCAGTTTTGTTCTGGGTTTTTGAAGGGATATTGTAGAATTCTTTGGTCTTAACTAAATGAGTGGAGATTGGAACTGCTGGGCACATGACCTACCCTTAAGAGTAGTTTGTTCCCCCAGTGAGACTCCCTTGGAGGAAACTCAGTTTTCATTGCAAGTGGTTATCAACTGGAGATAGCTTCTGGGTTGGAGATGGGAGCATGTGCCCACTTATTTCATCTCTAGGACTCCATCTGGTGCAGACCCGTGCAGGCTCTGTGCATGCTGCCTCAGTCTCTGTGAGTTCATATGTCCATCGTTCATGTTGACTTAGAGGGCCTTGGTTTTTTGGTGTCCTCCACCGCATCTGGCTTTTGCATTCTTTCTACCTCCTCTTCCACAGGGTTCTCTGAGCCCTGAGGGGAGGGGTTTGATGGAGACATCACTGTTCTGAGGTGTCTCACTCTCTGCATGTCTGGCATGGCTCTCTATAGTTGTTCCCACCTGCTACAGGAAGAAGTTTCTCTGGTGATGATGGAGCAAGGTACGATCTATGAGTGTTGCAGAATGTCATTAGGAGTCATTTTATTGCTTCAGATTTTTGTTGTTGTTATTGTTTTGTATTTGTTTGTTTATAACAGTAGTATTTGGTTTTACCTTAGGTCCCTGGGCTATCTAGTCTCAGGTTCTTGGTCACCCAGGCAATGTCGGGTATGGGTTTCATCTCATGGGTTTTACCTCAGGTCCCTGGGCTATCTAATCTCAGGTTCTTGGTCACCCAGGCAATGTTGGGGATGGGTTTCATCTCATGGGTTTTACCTTAGGTCCCTGGGCTATCTTGTCTCAGGTTCTTGGACACCCAGACAATGTTGGGTATGGGTTTCATCTCATGAAATGTGTCTTAAGTCAAATCAGATATTGGTTGGCTACTTCTATAAGCTTTATGCCAATGTTGCATTAGCATATCTTGCAGGCAGAACACCATTGTAGATCAAAGGGTTTACGGCTGGGTTGGTGTTTATGTTTTTCCTTTGCAGAGTACCTTCCTGTACCAAAGACGCCAGCATGTAAGGGTGAAGGCTCTCCGTAGGCACCAGCTGGGCTTCATGATTAATGAGTTGTGCAAGTGTTGTCTTCATCAATGGGACTTAGCCATCAGTTTGTGGTGAGCAACCTATAGTCTTGACAACAGCCTGGTTGTTTGGGGGTTCCAACTGGATGTAACCCATTGTTGGTACTGGAATCTTCATTTGGTGACAAGAGGTGACCAGTTGGGACTCTGTCTCCCCCATTATCTGATGATTTTATTTAAATAGCCTTCACATATGTATACATATTAGGAAGCTTCTGCTGTGTTAGGTTGCCATACCACCCCTCAAATGTCCCTTAAGTTTAGCTGTCTCTCCCCATATTCCCTCCCTCATTTCCTCTCTTCCCTTCCTCACCCCACTTGATTCTCCCATTCCAATCTCCTCCATCCATCCATAACTATTTCCCACTCAGTCTCTTACTCTATACGTAACCTTTGTGATTCTATGGATTATAGCTTGGTTATCATTGACTTAATATCTACATATAAACAAATAAATACTATATTTGTCTTTCTGCATCTGGGTTACCTCACTCTAGATGGATGGTTTTTTCTAGTTCCATCATTTATGTGCAAATTTTATGATTTCATTTTGTTTTCTTTTTTCTTTTCTTTCTTTTTTTTTTTCAAGAAAGTGTTTCTCTGTGTAGTGCCTTTCCTGGGACTCACTTGGTAGCCCAGGCTGGCCTCAAACTCACAGAGATCTGCCTGGCTCTGCCTCCTGAGTGCTGGGATTAAAGGCATGCGCCACCACCACCCAGCTTGTTTTCTTTTTTAATATAATTTTTTCTTTTTATTTTATGTGCATTGGTATTTTGCCTGCATGCATGTCTGTGTGAGGGTGTCATATCTTGGAGTTACAGACAGTTGTGAGCTGCCATGTGGGTGCTGGGAATTGAACCTGGGTCCTCTAGGAGAGCAGTTAGTGCTCTTAACTGCTGAGCCATCTTTCCAGCCCCTCATTTTGTTTTCTAACAGCTGAGTATACTCCATTGTATACATGTACCACAATTTCTTTATCCATTTTTCTGTTGAGAGACATCCAAGTTGTTTCCAGTTTCTGGCTATTATGAATAAAGCCCAAGAGTGGTATAGCTGGATCTCGATGTAGATCCATTCCCATCTTCCTGAGGAACCACCACATTGATTTCTATAGTTTGTACTAGTTTGCAATGTATGAGTGCTCCCCTTATTCCACATCCTCACCAGCATGAGATGTTACTTGTTTTATTCAACAAGTAACCTTACCTAGCCATTCTTTATGCTTTTTTCTTTTTTTTTTTTTTTTTTTTTGGTTTTTCAAGACAGAGTTTCTCTGTGTAGCTTTGCGCCTTTCCTGGATCTCGCTCCGTAGACTAGGCTGGCCTTGAACTCACAAAGATCCGCCTGCCTCTGCCTCCCAAGTGCTGGGATTAAAGGCGTGCGTCACCACCGCCCGGCCTTCTTTATGCATTTTGTATCAGATATGTAGTTTATAAAAATCTTTTACCATTCTGTAGGCTGCTCCTTTGTCTGAATGATGGTAACCTTTGCTATACAGAAGATTTTCAGTTTCATGAGGTCCTATTTATTAATTTGGATATTTTCTCCCCACTTTTTAGTTAATTTGGATATGGGTTTGTGAATCTTACTGATTTTTCTCAAAGAACCAGCTCTCTGTTTCATTGATTCTTTGTATTTTTTTTGTTGTTGTTCTATTTTATTGATTTTAGTCCTGAGTTTGATTATTTCTTGCTGTCTACTCCTTTTGGGTATGCTTTTTTTCTTTTTGTTCTAGAGCATTCAGGTGTGCTGTTAAGTTGCTAGTTTAAGATCTCTCCAATTTTTTTTTAATGTAGGCACTTTAATGCTATGAACTTGCCTCTTCGTTGTGTCCCATAAATTTAAGTATGTTGTATATTCATTTTCATTCAATTCTAGAAAGTCTTTAATTTATTTGTTAATTTCTGTTTTGACCCTTCTTTTATTGTTAGTAGGGAGTTGTTTCTAGGAGTTTGTAAGTTTTCTGTTGTTATTGATATCCAGCTTTAACCCATGGTGGTCAGATAGGATGTAGGATATTTCATTTTTCTTATATCTGTTGAGACTTGCTTTGTGTCTAAGTATGTGGTCAATATTGGAGAAAGTTCCATGTGGTGTAGAGAAGAAGGTATTGTCGTCTGTATTTGGGTGAAATGTTCTTTAAAGATCTGGTAGTTTTGGTCTGAATGACCTGTCTATGGGCAAGAGTGGGGTGTGAAGTCTCCCACTGTCAGTGTGTGAGGGTCAATGTGTGATTTAAGCTGTTGAAGTGTTTCTTTTACAAACTTGGGTGCCCTTGTGTTTGGTGCACAGATGTTAAGAATTGCAGTGTCCTCTTGGTGGATTTCTCCTGTGATGAGTATGTAGCATCCTTCCCTATCTCTTTTGATTCCCTTTGGTTTGAAGTCTATTCTGTCAGATTTTAAAATAGCTACACCAGCTTGTTTCTTATGTCCATTTTCTTGGAATATCTTTTTCCAACCCTTTACCCTGAGGTGATGTCCATCCTTGATGTTAAGGTGTGTTCCTTAGATACAGCAGAAGGATAGATCCGGTTTTTGTATCCATTCTGTTAGTCTGTGTCTTTTTAGTGGGGAATTGAGACCATTGATGTTGAGAGATATCATTGAGTTGTGTTTGTTGATTCCTGTTATTTTGTTGTTGTAGTGGTGTGTGTGTGTGTGTGTGTGTGTGTGTGTGTGTGTGTGTGTCCTCTTTTG